GGGGGGGGGGGGGGGGGGGGGGGGGGGGGGGGTGTGCAAACCCTGCAAGAACATGCCACTGCTCGCTAAACCAGAGGTGGTCGTCGTGCGTCGTGCGTCGATCACCCCCTCCCCTAATTCTCTCCGCTGTCCGAAACTCGCTTTCGGGGCGCGATTTTGCTGTTGCTGCTGCCACCGTGCATGATAACCTCATGAGCTCGTATCTTGTGCTAAGCACTGCGCGTTCTGGCGTATGATTGCCATGACGTTGGTTGCGCGCGTCCGGTTGACTGCCGATTTTTTTGTTGCTGTCAGCTTGCGAATATATCTTCCCTCTGCGTCTGTCGTCTGTTGAGGTACGTATGATATTCTCGAACAGTGTTGACGTTGAACCCACCCTAACCTCCAACTCCCCGCCTGGCATTTTACCCAAAGCAGCCTTGGTCACGCCCTAAGTATCCCTCGCCCTAATTTTTCATGCTGCGGACCTCCTCCGCCCTGTCTGACATTCTACCAATAACAGCCTCGTTCACGGGAGCCGCTCAAGCCCCCCCGCCTCTACATTTTTTACAACCGCCTACGCCCCCCCCTCCCCGAAGATATGTAGCGAGAACGTTACAGATAAAGGTGTCGGATTGTCCACCCTCGCCCTAAAATTTCATGCTGCGGACCCCCTCCGCCCCGCCTGACATGTTGCAATGCAGCCTGTTCACGGGGGCCGCCGTAATCCCATCGCGATACATTTTTAAATGGCATACTCATGATGTTCCCCCCTCATGAATGATGGTCGAGTAGATTGTGTGTGAGGTGAGGAACCCTCACTCGTCACCCGTACGCAAGGAAGTAGGCACAGGATGCCGAACACCCGTAGCAGGATGCAGCGCACCCTTCATGCGACTAGCCGAACATCTCACGGCGCGTCGCGCTTTGTGATGTGAGAGCCTGGTCCGGTGAGAATCCGGCGTGCTCGGTCCCGGCTTTGTAGTGACTCGAGGTGAAAGATAAAACGAAATGACTACGGCATTCACGTATATGAGTACGCCC